AAGACGTGTAACACGAACGACTTACATACTACTCTACCACACCCCCCTTCCCCAATGCATGTATTCCAAACTAGCTTCAAGAATTATTAACAAAGCTGACGATTTATTGAAGAACGTATTCGCTGACGGTCTTTGAGCCACTGAACTGAAGCTGGTCCTCATCAAGATGTTTTATTCGTGTTTCCGCTGGGGCAGCTTCAAGATCATAGCTGCTCTCTCGCGTTACCGCCGTTCGAAGAAATAACGAGTATTAGAGATGAGTGACTTCCGGCCATAGACTGTCACCTTCAGCACCGCCAGATGCTTTGAGCAGATTTTGTTACTGTACATCTCCGCATCTTGGCAACTGTGACTTGATCCACTTTCGGTTTAGACGAGCTAGAAGCACCACAAATGCATTAGCTTGCTGATCTACCGTGTTGCCCAGCAGTTTGACAAAGAACGGCGGATGGTGCGATGTGTCTTCTTCGACTTCTCGTCAGTTTACAATACGGTGTCACATGACCGGCTTCTGGATATCTTGAGCAATCCAACAGCGAACCGTACGTCTTAAGATGTCTTGTAGGATACCCGTCAGATAGATCGCAGTTCTTTCATTTGCCTTAAAACGATCGAGGGTGTAACTGAATAACATCAGAGCTCCTCAAGGATCGGTTCTTTCTCTTTTGCTCTTTTACACTTTTATAATCTGACTGTCAAGTCGATTCACCTCACCTCTGCCTGCAATATGTTGATGATACCGCAGTCGTTGCGACGGTAACAAATTGAACACATTTGTCTGCATATCTTGTAGAGGTGGTCGCGGTTTAATGGACTGAAACTGAACGTCAAGAAGTGTTTTGAAGGCCCACCCGTGCTTCGAACGGAGTGTCGAAACATGAAGACAAGGTTGGGTCACCTGTAAAACCATTATCCGATTTCAGGTAAGTTTCTTTCTGGTCGTTAAAAATAAAAACGCATTTCTAAACTATTATTGTCGAACCCATGGACTGATGATGATCGCTCTTTGAAGCTTCGAAAACCTTCATCTTCATCTTCTTCATCTTCCATCGCCGCTTCTCCTGTCGGGTCGCGGAGGCAGACGCGTCAGACAGTGCTTCCAACGTTCC